CAGCCCCCTGCCCCCAGCCTCCTGCTCTGCGTGTGTGGCTGCACCACCGCTCGCTGAAGTGGCCGAGAACGGCTAATGCATAGATGGCGTCGTGACACTTGCCGAGGGTTCACCACGATTCTCCCTGGTTGTGAGGCGGCGGAGCCCACGGGCGTCCGTGATGCACCCACAGCAGGCTCCCCGTGGACACCGCGAGGCGGTGGGGCAGTTGTGAAGACACGATTCCTTAATTCTCCAAACACCACATGGTTAGCTTAGTAAAACCAGATTTCTTCCTTGACTCCGAATCTCTTCGATTGTCAGATTATTTAGGAATATCACAGGATTCCCAGGGGATGCTGTCGTTTTCCATCTTAATGAAGCACAAACAGGCAGAGCCTCGGGGCTCCGTTACNATTTTGGGGGGACGCCCTGTATATCTATACCTGTGTCTGTATCTACACCTACGTCTACATCTATACTTATATATTCTCAAACATTCATTCATTTTCGCTGTTTATTCCAATTACTTCTTTCATTTCTAATGCCACTCCCTCTCCACCCATTGTCTGTATTTTCTTTTCAAACTTCAAAGTTAGGTTTGCATGTTAAGGTTAAATTTTGATTCAAGACTGATGTCCTCAGGCCCAGAAGCACTCATTTGTTCAGCAGCTGTTCTCACCCCCCCTCTGTCTCTCTCCCTCGTCTCTCAGGGGTGCAGATGATGTTCCACACCTTCCACCTGGAGAGTTCTCACGACTACCTGCTGGTCACGGAGGACGGGAGCTTCTCGGAGCCCGTGGCCCGGCTCACGGGCTCGGTGCTGCCCCACACGATTAAGGCCGGTCTGTTCGGGAACTTCACCGCCCAGCTGCGGTTCATATCTGACTTCTCCATTTCCTACGAGGGCTTCAACATCACCTTCTCGGGTACGTTGGGCTCATCCGCTGCTCGCAACAGCAGTGCTGCGTGGGCGTGTTTGTGTGCAGCTGTGTGTGTGGTTGTGTACGAGCATGGGGGGGGATAGGTATGCATGGGTATGGTTGTGTGGGGTGTATGCGATTACAGATAAGTGGGTGACAGAAAATAAATGGGTGACACTTAGAAATAGTAAAATAATTTCACACTGTTAAAGTGACAGTTTTGAAATGGTCATTTTATTTTATTTTATGTCTGTGTAAAAAGTACTAAGATTGGTGCCATTTGCTATCAGAGAGCTCACAGTAAAGAAAATGGTGCACCTGAGAGTGAGAGCAGCGTTTGTGAGACCCTAATGATGTACTGACTCATTTTTAGTAACAGCAGTTCTCTGTCTTCTGAATAACTTTCGAGTATTTACCCAAATTCCCACAAACCTGCTCTCTCTTCATGTCTCAGAGTATGACCTGGAGCCCTGTGAGGACCCTGGCGTCCCCGCCTTCAGCCGGAGGATCGGTTTCCACTTCGGAGTCGGGGACTCGCTGACCTTCTCCTGCTTCCCGGGGTATCGCCTAGAAGGTGCCACCAAGCTGACCTGCCTGGGCGGGGGCCGCCGTGTGTGGAGTGCACCTCTGCCAAGGTGTGTGGGTAGGTGGTCACACGCTTTCATTTCATTCATCCAGTGGGGACAGGGCCCGGCGTGGCCGGAAGAGGGCGAGGCCCGGGCACCAGACCGGGGTGAGCCTTCTGGCTGTGCCGTCTCAGCTGGAGGTCGGCTCCTCCAGCCCTAAAATTATGACAGAGGAAGAGTGAGACTCGGTGTCAACCATATTTACAAAGGGGGGAAGGAGGCAAAGCAACAGCTGGAAACCACAATGTAATGACACAGCCTTGGACACGCTGTAGTAACACACCTTGGACACGCTGTAGTAACAGAACCTTGGACACGCTGTAGTAACACACCTTGGACACGCTGTAGTAACACACCTTGGACACGCTGTAGTAACA